TGGGCACTATTCCTCCCAATGACACCAATGATGGGGTGCAATTACTCCTAATGACACCAACAATGGGGCACAATTCCTTCCAGTGACACCAAGGATGGGCCACCACCTGGCCCCCCTAAACTCTGAGAGATATTAAACTGGCCCTTTGTTTAGGAAATTTGGAGACCCCTGATCTAGAGCAAAGAGAAGTGCACTGTACTCATGGATATGGTGAGCATGTTGCTCTGTTCCCTTTCTTCCATATCTGCAAAATGCTGGTGCTTGGCGATGGCTCAGAACTGTGACTTAGGTGCAGGAAGAGAGCTCTCAGTTCTATGTAAGCTTTAAATGACAAGCTTCCTCTTCGCTTTCAGCTTCTGAATGGAGTATAGGGGAATGAAGTGAAAGTTCTCTGCTGCTGAAGAGGGAGAAAGTTAAGTGAACCTGTTAAGTTAGGTAAACCTGTTGCTTTACTCTGCATAGGTGAAGCACAGGTTACTTTAACCACTTCTGGACCACCTCCTGTAGCTTTAATGCTACAGTGCAGTCCCGCTGCGCAGGGTCACGTGTACAGTGTATACGTGATCCAGCATTTCTAGGTAGGGAGCGCCTGCACGCGCACGCGCCCGCTGCCCCAGCTGTGCTGTCATTCACTTCAGCACATGCTGATCAGCAGATCCAGGCTAATGATTTATCAGAGAGCAAGAATATGGCTGTGTTTTTTTGATCAGTGCAAAACAGGGAGTAAAAACAGTCACATCACTTACTTATAGCAGCACACACTATACACTTTACACTTGTTAACCCTTTGAACACAATTTACACTTCAAACACAGTTAACCCTTTGATTGACCCTAGATGTTAACCCCTTCCCAGCCAGTGTTATTAGTACAGTGACAGTGTATAGTATTAGCACTGATCACTGCATTAGTGTCATGGGTGAAGTCAGTGTCAGTTAGTCAGTTCCCACATAGTGTCAGATTGCCCACCGCACTGTCACAGTCCCACTAAGTTACTGATCAACAACAACATTACTAGTATAAAAAAAAAATACATTCAAATTCCAGTATATACTAATTACCATAGTTTGTAGACGTTATAACTTTCACGCAAACCAATAAAAACCAGTTGTCGACTGCCATATAGCAGTTTTACTGCTACAGGGTGGGCACTGTGTGCAGAATCACGTACATATCGTGATTCTGCAATTCCTGGGAGGGCACCCGGTGCCCCCAACGCATCACTCTGCTGTAATTAGTCACAGCAGAAGCCAGTCAGGGGTGCTGGCCAATGGATGACCAAGGGCCCGCTTAGGACCTTCTGATCAGCAAAGAAAGAGGCAGAACACAGTTCTGACTATGTAAACAAGGCAGAGCTGTGTCCTGTCAGTGGCAAAGTGCTGGATTTTGTTTGTTGCACAGCAGGGAATAAAATAAAACACCACATTGTACACATATAAACGCTGGCAAGGCACACAATTAAAGTGGTTGAAAAAGCTGAAGGTTTTTTTTTTTACTTTCATGAAATTCTATGCATGAAGCTAAAAAAACCTTCTGTGTGCCGCAGCTCCCCCAGCCCCTTCAACACTTACCTGAGCCTCATCGCGATCCAGTGATGTGAATGACAGCCTTGACTATCTCGGGTCTCTGCCTCCTCATTGGCTCAGACAGCAAGCGGGAGCCATGGGCTCCCACTGCTGTCAATCACAGCCAGTCTGCCAATGAGGAGAGAGAGGGGGCGGGGCAAAGCCACGGCTCCATCTGTGAATGGACACATGGAGCAGCAGGTGCCCCCATAGCAAGCTGCTTCCTGAGGGGGCACCAGACGGACAGGAGGAGCCAGGAGAGTCTGTGCAGGACCCAAGAAGAGGAGGATCTAGGCTGTTCTGTGCAAAACCACTCTGCACAGTAGGTAAGTGTAGACATGTTTGTAACTTTACAAAAAAAATTAACCTTTAGAATCGCCTTAACTCTCTGACCACCCTAGATGTTTAACCCCTTCCCAGCCAGTGTCATTAGTACAGTGACAGTGTATATTTTTAGTACTGATCACTTTTTTAGTATTACTGGTTGCTACAAAATGTCAGTTAGTGTCAGATTGTCCGCAGTCCTGCTGTAAGTTGCTAATCGATGCCATTAGTAGTATACAGAAATTACAGTATATATACTATAGTATGTAGCCGTTATAACTTTTGTGCAAATCAATCAATATACACTTATTGGGATTTTTTTTACCAAAAATATTTAGCAGAATACATATTGGCCTAAATTTATGAAGAAATTAGATTTTTAAAAATTTTTTAATTGGATATGTTTTATAGCAGAAAGTAAAAAATACAGGGTTTTTTTTCTCCAAAATTGTAATTTGATCACCACAGGGGTTGTGGGTTGTGTTTTTTTTTTTGCTTTAAACAAATACCACCAATAGATCTATTTGTGGGAAAAAAATTACATACATTTCATTTATGTACAGAGTTGCATGACTGAGCAATTTTCAGTTACACAGTACTGTATAGCAAAAAATAGCCTGGTCATGAAGGGGGTAAATCTTCTGGAGGTCAAGTGGTTAAGCAATATAGGCACTGATCAGCACTGTTTATGTGAATAGATTTTGTTACAAAGAATTTCCTGTCCAGATATTTTGTCTGCACTCACAAATGAAAACAGAACTTCACTCTCAATCAACATTGACTATTTTTATTCGTTATGCTGCTAGCATTAGTAAATTGATAGGAAAGTATATCACGTTTACTTTAGGTTTTAAACTTTTTTTACATTCCTTCAGTTACTTTCTGGTTTTAAGGCCTATGCAAATCATGCCATACATCCCAGGATACTTCAATTGGAGAGGAGGGATTTTGTCTGATAAGCACACCCTCCTGTCTCAATGCTGGAGCTAAGGGCGGATGGATTCTAGGGCAGTCAGTGGCTAAATGGTTAGCACTTCCACCTGGCAGTACTAGGGTCATTGCTTCAAATCCCAACCACAACACCACCTGCCTCAAGTTTGCATGTTCTCCCTGTGCCTGCATGGGTTTCCTCTGGGTATTCCGGTTTCCTCCCACACTCCAAAGACATGCCAGTAGGTGAATTGGATCCTGTCTAAATTGTCCCTAGTATGTGTATGTATGTAAGTTAGGGACCTTAGATCGTAAGCCCCTTGAGGGTTAGGGACTGATGTGAATGTACAATATATATACATGTAAAGAGCTGCGTAAATTGACAGCGCTATATAAGTACCTGTAATAAATAAATAAATAGGAAGTAAATGCTACAGGATTCATCTGCTCGTACTCAAGATGACCATGGCCAGAAATACTAAGGGGTATTTTTCAAAGTGATTTCTTAGCAAAATAAAGCATTGAGACATACTGTAGACAGATGGGGGAAGCATGCTGTTAATACTAAACATAGGTTAAATAGTGTTTTTGGTTTGTGATGCAGTGTAGTTCCACTTTAGGCTAAACTCAGAGCATTGCATCTAATAGGGGAGATTTCCTAAAACCGGTGCACACTGAATCTGGTGCAGCTGTGAATGGTAACCAATTCATTTCTAGGTTTTGTAAATAAAGTTAGAAGCTGATTGGCTACCATCCACAGCTGCACCAGATTCTGTATGCACCAGTTTTAGTAAATCTCCCCCAATATGTCCATGCACTGAAAGTCACATAGGCTGGGACCCACATTTTTTCTTTCCTTGTTTTGTTATCTGATCACATTTCTTACATCACATGAAATAATAAATATCAAACAAAGCTTTTACTACAGAAAAATATGAAGAGGCCAATGGGATATGTAATCAAAGTCCACACTACATTTACCTGTAAAAAAATGCAGTTTAAAATTGGACATTCCATGTGAATGGCAATATAAACATGTCTATTTAAAGTGATATGTATGGCTAAAAGTAAAGAATACATTGCAAGATGTTGAAGCCTTTTTTCATTTCCTAAATATTCTAATGTAATTCTATATCATTTTTACCACTCTCCCTGTGTTTTGTTAATGGAGTATCTTAACACAAGCCCCAGGCAGCATACATACATAGGCATGATTTTGCATGATAAAATCAGCTCCAAAAATACTTACATTTCTTTTACTATATGCATGATTTATTAGTTGCATAACTTATGTACTTTTTGTCCTGATGCCGATAAAACCAGTAGACTATCCGAATAGCCTGTCATTCAGGAATGTATATATCTAAAAGATATATTTTTGTAAAAATGTCTAGAGGCCTTTTTACATTTTTTACAATCACTGATTAGCAGTAACTAACAATGCAGAGCCAGACTGACAGGTAAAACATGTCTGTTTGGAGGACATAGGAATATTTATGAAAGAGGGGATAACATGTCACTTCAGAGCTAGCAACTTAATTTTGTCATACAGTAGGTCTTCAAATTTTATCTGCCTTTTAATCTATCTGGTGATATATCTGTTGATATACTACAGTATTGAAGAATGTGGAATGAAGCTATGTTCACTTCGCTCATCCAATCACGAAATTCAAATTTAAAGTTAATACAGTACCTATCTATATTTTTACATCTAAATATCTGTTACATTTAACAAGAAATCAATGTCTTGCTCTGAGGATATGGCACTGCAGCTCCGCGTTTCTATCAAAACATTTTGAACATTTTGTGACAACCAGATTATATTTATAGCACATGAAAGGTAATACTGCCTTAACCAGCCAGCAGCTGCCTTAAATCTTCACAGAGTGAAAACTACAGCTAAGAACATCATCTAGGTTTATTCAGGAACTTTAAAGTGCAGTAGGAAAACTACCAATGTAACAGTAGAGGGCACCACAGTAAGTTCGTCATATGCTTTCTGTCAACTTGTATCTTCTAACCCAAATGCAACCTAAAGTAAATAAATTACAAAAATGATTTGCATATATATATATATATATATATATATATATATATATATATATATATATATACACATACAACGCATATTACATATTTTTATAAAATATCTGTATTTTAAAAAATCTTTTGAGCTACTTACCGGGAACAAAACAATTGGCACTGTCAAGGTTACTGCCACCAAGACTGCTACGCGGACACAGAGAAGAAGGGTATCAAATTTATATACTTTTGTGTAGGTGTGAAGTAATTCGTCTTGAACTTCTCCTGCAAGGAAGGGAAAATAAAATGTATAATTGGTGCTGTTTGCAAGTTTTGCATTGTCAGCATATTATGCGGCTCTGAGTATATCAAATTGTGGAACAGAACAAATTGCACACACAATGTACACAAAATATTTCTTGCTGGAAGACATTTGCAGTTTATATATGTAATACACACATAAAAGAACAGAAGAAGTCACAGCAGTGACAACACCACCAACAAACCCTTTTCGAATGACTGTCACAGGTACAGAAATCACTGTTGTTACTGTGACTTCCTCTGTAATTAAATCAGCAATTTGTATTTACAAGTAAATGCACCTTTGTGTCAATATTCATAATATATACAGTATGTCTGATAGTATGTGTAGGAGACTAAATGTCTGAATCACATAAACAAAGATATATTTTTTTGTAATGTACAGCGCTGAGCGAAACTATTGGCACTTTATAAATACTGTATAATAATAATAATATATACTGCAGTGTTAGTTATTGTTGGACAACAGCGTATTCATACAGTAATACAGTATATAAACTGTGTATATATATATATATATATATATATATATATTTATATATACATAAAAATATTATTCAAATTAATTATTACATATTGTTTTGGGGGAAATTAGGTCAATAATTTATATTATTTCTATATTTATAAATTAATTTATATATATATATATATATATATATATATATATATATGTATGTGTGTGTGTTTACAAGTTCAAGTTCAAGTTACATGTTCCATCATGCCTCATGGGAAATGTAGTTCCACAACAGCTAGAGAGCCGCAGGTTGCCTACCCCTGACCTAGGGGGAAGTAATTTGTAGTGTTCAGGGAGATCTAGGGCAAATGTAACTTGTAAGAGTGCAGCACAGACAGAGAGTACAGGAAGTTATACACTTACAAGATTTTTAGTAGGACAAATGGATATTTTTTACAGACCAAAAGGAAGCAAATCGGGAAGTCTATAACACTTTACGAATGTGCTGCCTATGGCTGTGATAAGAAATGAAGAGGAACATGTGTATGGTTTTGGATGAAAGCAGGTGCATTGTGAATACAACTGTTAAGAGTAGGAAGCAAGTCTCTTTTCATTTAATGCTTTACATTGAGATTAAGTCAGATGACACAACCCTTCCTTGCTATGGGAAAAGAAGGGATGGCATGGAGGTGCCAAAGGTCAATAGTAACTATTAAGGAAAATGTTTGTTAAAAACATTCCAATTTTTGCAGATATCCACATCAAAAGGTTAAATCATGGTTCGCTTATAGGACTGAAGTCAATATTCACATACCACTCTGGAATATGTCTTTGGAAGTGCAATGGTTACATTCAAGTAATGTTAAAATAACTCAATCTGTGCAAGTTCCAGGCAAATGGAAAGAGTTTATCTTTCATTGATCAGATCACAGTAAACTGCTGACAGGTGAAATCGGAGAGAGGTCTGTACAGAATATTGTAGATGATGTTGCTCTGGGTAAGATGTTTCACAAGCACAAAACATACTTGCAATGTGTTATTTTAAATGTGAGGTATGGACATTTCCAAAAAAACTCATCAGAAAGGCATCATGTTTCTTTAAAAAAAAACTATTATTTTTTAAATGTGCACTTTAATTTTTCTCTGGAAGATGATGCCAAGAATAATGACCCATGGCAGAAAAAGCCAAACTAGAAAAGTGTCAAACAAAACCCATTTGGGGGCTTACATAGTATGCTTTTCCATGTGACGACTTTGGAGAGGTTTACCACTGCTGAGGTCATATGGGTAGCATGGTGTTTGGATGACCTCCAGCACAATATTCTGCTGAGGTCAACAAATACCTACATTTCTGATGATACTTCATGTAAGAATGAGAAATGAGGTATTGCAAATATTAGCATTCTGGATGTTATGCTAAAGAACTTTGACCTGAACACAGATTGAACTGTGCCTGATGTAATGATCCTAAATGCTCTAGGATGAAACTTGATTCTGCTCGATGAAACATGTGACTGACAACTACATATCTGAAATATTTACTAATGGTAGACAACCAGGGCCGGCCTGAGAACTCATGGGGCCCCCGGGCAATAGGGGATCATGGGGCCCCTGTGTCCTTGCCCAAACTCAAAAAAGCCTATGAAAAAGGTACCAGGGGCATCTCATGGGGCCCCCTACTGACCCCGGGCCCTTGGGCAGTGCCCAAGTTTCCAAATGGTCAGTCCGCCCCTGTAGACAACATTAATCTAGCACAATTAGTCAGATTGGAATTTTCATTCTCCATTTTTTTCAGGGCTATATATACAGATAGTAATACAGTTGTCTAATGTTATAAATATTTGGATGAAAAATTTTTTATTTTTTCAAAACCAAGTGTGCTAAATGAGTGGGTTGACCAATAAACAAATGTTTAATTTCACCTTTCTTAACCTTTTCAACACAGAGGAACACTTGAAATAACTTTTCAGTCTTCAGAAACCCCTGCTAAAAATTATCATATCTACAACTCATGATACAGTAGTGTGATGGTCAGTGGGGAAAATGTCCCTTACACTTGTGGTCATTGGGAAGAATTACTCACTTTACAGATTGCTAAAAAATATAAATGGTGTCAGTGGGAAATTATCTGAGAGGCAGAAATAGCTAATTGCTCAATGAACCCACAGCAACCACTGGAGGAACCCTAGGATTCCATGGAACTCTGGTTTAATTAAATAGGGATGATCAATCAAGGTTGAAAATCCAGTCAAGATAAACTAGATCAATTCATTTTCTTGTTGAATGCATTTTAGCTTGAAATGATTAAATCTATGATCATTCTTTTACAGAGACAACGTAAGAATGATTAGTTTCCATATATTGGCACAGAAACATCTTCTTCAGCTGCTTTGATAAACAAGGTCAATAATGGGCAACTATGCTCCTTGAGAATCTCACAGCATGCAGGATAACGTGATAGATAGATAAAAATCACTTTTGCCTATACCAGAATTTTCCAGCTACACTTGCTGTTAACAAAGTAAATAATTGTGGTGAAAAGGAAGGGTAAATGGCAGTGAAAGAGTGCCTGCATTCAATCTCATTTTGATAAATATGCCTATAAGCTTTCAACAGAGCAAGAGAGCAATCAAAGAAAAATGAGTGGACAGGGCTTGATCTCTTGTTGGCTGGTATGACTCCTCCCATTTGCTAGTTTTTGTTTCAAAGATACACAATGAGCAGACTTAAAGTAGTTCTACAGGCAGAAGTTTTTTTTTACCTTAATGCATTCTATGCATTAAAGTAAAAAACCTTCTGGGTGCAGCTCCCCTTCAGCCCCCCTAGTAGTTACCTGAACCCCCATTTCGCTCCAGTGATGTGCATGAGAGCAGAGGCTTTCCACAGTCTCTCTCTCCTCACTGGTTCACACAGCAGCAGGAGTCAGTGGCCATCACAGCCATGAGCCAATGAGGAGAGAGCAGGAGGTGGGGCTGAGCAGCACCCTGTGTGTGAATAGACAATGTGTGTTCACAGGAGCATGGCTTGGGAGTGAGCCTGCTCAAGTGCCTCTATAGTAAGAGGCTTGCTATTGGGGGCACTCAACTGGGGGGAGGTGCCAGGACCGCTGGTGGGGAACCCACCCAAAAAGAAGAGGATCGGGCTAGCTCTGTATCAGGCAAGTATAACATGTTTGTTATTTTGTTTTCTCAATTCCAATCCTATAGGCCAGTTCATCACCCATCCCAGAACTTTTGATGTGGGGGAAGATCACCCTGTCAAACTCAAACACCTGAGATTTGTCTTACTCCCCATAACATTAGGTAATCCACATTAATATGCCTTTTATATAACTAGCATCTAAAACTTTTTTCATAGCTTAAATTATTTTCTTTAAAAAACATTGATTTACAGCACTCTGCTTATGACCTCTCAATTGTTATCATTTCTGCTTTGATTTTCCTCTCTTATTGTACTATTTGAACCTGCTTTATGCTGGATTACAGTCAATCTTTTCAACCAAGTTAGATGCACAGCTGCACCAGATTTAGCACTTTCCAGTTTTAGTAAATCAACCCCATAATCTTTCTTTTCCATGGCTGCATAAATCATTCTATTATTTTAGTATTTTAGTATTTTTCAAAGGATAACTGTACAAAGCAATTAAGATCATGGCTGAAAAAAAAATTAGGGACATACTGTAAAATAATATAGTATAAGTATAATCCTGTATCATGCTTTTCTAAAAACACTGCCTGGCACTGTCCAGCTACTACAGTGTTTACTATTTTCTGGCTCTTTGTACACACCAATGTGCACTATCTCAGAGCAGAATCCAGAGGGGCTGCTCATTCTTAACTACAAGCCAACCCCTGTCCACCCATTATCAAGTCAAGTAGACAATTTTCCTCACCTAATGTTTGCAGCTGGAAGGTGCAAACACTGTGTTGACCCCACACCAGCCAAGCAGTGCTTACAGTGCTACTACTCAATGTTGACACATTGCCAGATTTTTGTGTTAAAGGTATAGCTAACAGTTGTGTTAATTGTATTGTAAATATTTTATCTATACAATTTAATGTTAAAGTATTATTATTATACAGGATTTATATAGCACCAACAGTCTGCTCAGCGCTTTACAACATAACGGGAGACAATACAGCAACAATACAGTTCAATACAAGAGGGTTAGGAGAGCCCTGCTCTTTGGAGCTTACAATTTAAGAGGGAGGGGCTGGTGGTACAAAAGGTAATAACTGTGGGGGATGGACTGGTAGGAGGAGTAGAAGATTCCATTATTAGCTGAGAGCAGGATAGGCTTCCCTGAAGAGATAGATTTTCAGAGATCACCTAAAAGTGAGCAGAGTAGGCGATAGTCTTATAAATTGGGGTAGTGAGTTCCAGAGGATGGGGGAAGCTCTGGTGAAGTCCTGGAGACAAGCATGGGAGGAGGAGACAAGGGAGCTAGAGAGCAGGAGGTCATGTGAGGAGCGGAGGAGAGTACGGTTTGGGTGATATTTGGAGACAGGATTGGTGATGTAATTTGGGGCAGAGTTATAAATGGCATTATATGTTATTGTTAATATTTTGAATTTTATCCGTTGGACAATGGCAAGCCAGTGGAGGGATTGGAAGAGGGGTGGCAGATATGGAATGGTTAGTAAGGTGGATGAGTCTGGCAGCAGCATTCATGATAGACTGAAGAGGGGATAGCCTGCGATGATGTAGGCCAATGAGGAGGGAGTTATATTAGTCAAGGCGAGAGATAACAAGGGAGTGAATAAGTTGCGTTAGTAGTTTCCAAGGTTAAGAATGGGCGTATCTTGGAGATGTTGCGGAGGTGAAGTCTACATGATTTGGACAGTGATTTTATTTGGGGCTGAAAGGACAGATGGGAGTCTAGGATTACACCTAGTACCCTGGCATGAGGGGAGGAACTGATGGCTGTGTTAGTACAGCTGTTGTTATAAAAATGACATATGAACAATCTTTGGAGTTTATTTATCAAATATTATATGTTCTCAGCATTTGACCATATATTAGAAAATCATTGTACTCACCATAAAATGTAAGATAGCCAAAAAGTGCAGCAAAGAGATACATTACGAGCATTGCTGTTATTGACAGATTGGAAACGCTCTGCATTTTTCTTCGGGTTCGACTAGAAAAACAAATTGAAAGCATGTCAAACTTTGATAAAAAACATATTAAGTATGAACTGATAATTTTTATGCCTTGAGAAAGTAGTGAAGGGTTCATTTACAAAATAATGGGATTATTTTACTAAATGAGCAAAGGCTGTTCACTTCACAAGAAGTATGTTTACTTTGAGGAGGTAAGTTCACTAAGAAAATAAATATGAAATACCTATATATCCTTGCATGGCAGAAAGATAATAATAGTAATATTATTTAAGAGCTCACCAGCACCAACATGTGTTTCACAAGCACACATACTAAATACATAAATTAAATAAGTGCAGTGCTCTTTCCTCCTAGTGTCCGAACTTTAAATAAGTACTATTAATACATACATTGTAAAAATATATAAATGCATGTGACCAATAATCTATACTCTTAGTGCTCAAATGATAAATCAATATAAATATAAATAGGGAATTTCAAGCAATAAATTCCTATATTAAATGGAAACTGTGATAAATATCCATTCATTGTAAAAAGGTCTCATTGGTGATCAAACTGTGCATAAATAAAAAAAAACTTTCAAAAGTCCCATGTCAGTTCTTAACACCATGCACCAATCAGAGCGCTATGTCATAGTTAGAGGGTATCCTTGCTGCACTGTTAAACTTTCAATTATTAGCCAATTAACAATGACAGCAAACGAACTTGACCAAAGTAATCTCACAGAACTATTTTCATAAGAATCAGTCAGAAAGAAAAATATAGGAAACAGGACCTTTTTGCTTGTCACCTTTAAAAGGACAGGTGAACTTTACCATAATTATTTGTAAAACAGCCCTTCCCTCTTTGTCCGCATTAAAACCTCAGACCTCACATGCAGGTGTATGCCAATGTTTTTATCAGGATACTGGACACAGTTTATGGATGTACAGCAGGGCTTGAAAAAACAGTTCGCCCGCTCGCCAAATGCGAGGAGAAATTCCTCTGTGGCGAGCGGCGAGCGGCTGCGAGTGGTGAGCACAGATGAAGCATGGAGCGACTCCACCTGCGCTCCAAGCCTCATTGTGAAGCCGAGTTCCGGGTTACAACTTCTTTTTTCTGGATTCTGCGGCACCGCCACCGAGGGGGACAGGTACAGGAGAGGTCTGCTTTCCTCCACTGAGAGGAGACACCCTCTCCACCGCCGTGGGGGACTTGGGGGGACAGTAAGTGCTGTATACAACATGTCATATCACTACAATGGAGTACAGGGGATCTGGGATATACATTACTCAGTAATGTATATCCCAGCTCCCATGTAAACCATTATAGTGATATGATATGTATACAGCAATATATATCCCAGCTTCCCTGTACTCCATTATAGTGATATGACATGTATACAGTAATGTATATCCCAGCTCCCCTGTACTCCATTGTAGTGATGACATGTTTACAGTAATGATTACTGTATACATGTCATATCACTACAATGGAGTACAGGGGAGCTGGGATATACATTACTGTATACATGTCATATCACTATAATGGAGTACAGGGGAGCTGGGATATACATTACTGTATACATGTGATATCACTATAATGGAGTACAGGGGAGCTGGGATATAAATTACTGTGTACAGTTTTATATTTTGGACTATTTATTCTAAAGAAAAATGTAATTTCATAAGCTTTAAGGGGGCATGGTTGGGGGCGGGCCAGGGTGGGTTTGGGGCGAATCGGGGGTTGGGGGCGGGCCTGGGCAAGGTTGGGTGGGGCAACTGGTGGAGAGTAAGTTTTGTGACCGGCTAGTAGGTCTGGACTCTCCAAATTTTAACCCCTGACAGTATCTGCCATGTATGTTTTCTTTATGCCATAAAACACGTGCTGTGTGTAAAGTACAATAGGCTGCATCCAGACACACTCTGGTTATGGCCACTTATATTCTATCACCAGTGCTGGCAAATGTTCATTATGGTAGAAAAAAAGGAGCAGTGACAGGTTGTAAACAGTGGGCTGCATCTGAGGCTGCATTTAAGGATATTAATAAAAGGATCCATCTAAAACATAGATGTTTATGTACCTTTTGAGCTCACTGTAAATTGGTAACACCTCTGGATGGCACACAAAAGCAAAGGCCAAGATTGGAATAGCATAGGCTGTCTAAAAGACATAAGGAGGAGAAAGAATTATTTACTATGCTCAAAAAAGTACAATACACTATAAATTATATTAAAGCCAGTATTGAAAATTATGTGGCATTGTACTGCTGAAAAACTGGCACTGGTACTGTACACAGAACTGGTTGAAATTTGTAAATAATATTCACCGAGCCCTATATAGCACTGCCTATCGACTTCATGAACACATGACCATAATACATATAGCAAGGGTTTAATACAACTTAGCCAACATACAGCCTTACCTGGGAGTTGAACACAAAATATTTGGGCTTGCATTTTTCATCTGTGTGAGCTTCAAATTCTACCCCATTTCCATGGGTATTGTCTTTGTGTTCACCAATCCCTGCTGTCTCTCCTTGATTGTAATCCATCATAAAGTTTACACCGGAATCAATGGTGTAATTTTGTATCATAAGGGGGTGCAAATGATAAGTATTATTGCTTGTCAAATTTCCATAATGGGAGTCCAGCAAAGGTAAGGGGCATGGTATCTGAGTTTTCTTGTAAATCACCTGGAATAGAAACAATTTTTAGCATTTTTTACTACCAGTGTTATAAATAGCTGAAATGTCTTAGCTCAAACAATAGTGATCAGATTTGTGTTAACAAAAGGTGCCATGCAGTTTAATTAAAATGTGGACTTTATAGTTTACAATAATAAAAGTGCTGTGTTGAAGCTAATCTCCTGATGAACAACTAAATCACACATGAAATACATATAAAGGAATTGTTTTACTTGCTAATACACAAAATAGCCAAGTGCACGATACCACCTACAGTAAAGGAATACAGTGGTGTTTCCTCATCACCCCAGACTGCTGCTGTGCACAGTTAAAGAGCAACAGAAGACTGCTGAGGTAATCTCTCTGCTCTCACCTCCTATCAGCATGTTCCTTGTCAGCACATGCAATACACCTGATTGGCTCCGAATGCTAACCTTCTCCAAGTCTAAGTGCTTCCATATTGTGGGTTTGAAGAGGCTGTTGCCGAGTCCACACCAAGTACTTACAATAGTATTTAAAAAATACTTTTTTAAAATCAGAATTGCAATCATTTGTCATTTATAAATGTTCCTAGAGTTCAGCTTTAAACAATTTTCAATTTAATGTACATAGTAAAAAAAATGGTTCCTTACCACACTGACGAAAAACACCATACAAGACAGAGAAAATCCACTTGTGTATCCAAGATAACCTGTTCAATTTATACAAATGAATACATTCGTTATATTTAATGTAAATCTGGACAAATCTGCAAATTACTCTTAATGGTCAGCAGATGCTTTTGATCATATAGGATCATAGTGTGATACAGTATATCCTAAATCTTGCATTATCCTAAGAAAAAGAATATGTACTTGCCTAAATTCTTCAACATAGCCAGTGGAAGAATGACCCCAATGGATACAAAGATCACCAGATAGTTCCCATTCAGATACCATTCCCTAAATATAGAGATGCGCTAAAATTAGAACTACTGTAAGTGGATATAGAAATAGTGTAAATAGTCAAATAAATGTGTACACATACCCTGAATTCTCTTCCAGTTTCATGAAAGTTCTCATTACTTCAGGAAGTTCATATTTCACAATAAACAAGTAGCTTGACATAGCTGAAAAAAGCATTAAATAACAACAAAAGGGTAATTAGATGGCCTTCTAGTATAACTGTCTTTATTTTATACTTTAACAAATAAGGTTTGTTATCCTGTTACAGAATAATCATTATGTATGATGTTTTACTGCAGAATATACAAATTATTTTCTTACGTTCTGCGCATGATTGGTCAAAGTATATATATATATATATATATATATATATATATATATATATATATACACTATAATTCCAAAAGTATTAGGGCAACCCTCCAAATCATTGGATTCAGGTGTTCCAATCACCTCCATGGCCACAGATGTATAAAATCAATACCATGATAGGTTGCCACCTGTAGAATAAGTCCATCCATGAAATTTCCTTGCTACTAAACTGTTAGTAGTATTATAACAAAGTGGAAGCAACTGGGAACAACAGCAACTCAGCCACAAAGTGGTAAAACATGTCAAAAGACAGCGGGGTCAGCACAGTGAAGTCGTCAGCTGTCTGCAGAGTCAATAGCTAAAGACCTTCAAACTCCCATGTGGGCTTCAGATTAGCACAACAACAGTGTATAGAGAGCTTCATGGAATGGGTTTCCATGGCTGAGCAGCTGCATCCAAGCCTTACATTAGCAAGTGCTATGCCAAACGTCGGTTGCAGTGCCATAAAGCATGCCGCCACTGAACTCTAGAGCAGTGGAGACGTGTTCTCTGGATTGACAAATCATGTTTCTCTGTCTGGAATTCTGATGGACGTGTCTGGGTTTGGCGGTTCCAAGAAAACGGTACTTGCCTAACTGCATTGTGTCAAGTGTAAAGTTTGGTGGAGGGGGGATTATGGTGTGGGGTTGTTTTTCAGGGGCTTGGCCCCTTAGTTCCAGTGAAGGAAACTCTTAAGGCATCAGCATACCAAGACATTTTGGACAATTTCATGCTCCCAACTTTTTGGGAACAGTTTGGGGATGGCCCCTTCCTGTTCCAACATGACTGTCCATAAAGACATATATGTGCGAGTTTGGGGTGGAGGAACTTGACTGGCCTGCACAGAGTCCTGACCTCAACCTGATAGAACACCTTTGGGATGAATTAGAGGGGAAATTGCAAGCCAGGCCTTCTCGTCCGACATCAGTGCCTGACCTCACAAATGCGCTTCTGGAAGAATGGTCAAACATTCCCATAGACACACTCCTAAACCTTGTGGACAGCCTTCCCAGAAGAGTTGAAGCTTTTATAGCTGCAAAGGGTGGGCCAACTCAATATTGAACCCTACGGACTAAGGCTAGGATGCCATTAAAGCTCACGTGTGTTTAAAGGCAGGTGTCCTAATACCTTTTGCAAAATAGTGTGTGTGTATATATATATATATAAAAACAGGTATAGCAGCACTCACAGGTATGGCAGCAGAGGCAAATCAAAACAACTGCGTTTTTATTGTTGATGTTTCCATGAAGCTCAGTCCATCTTTCTCAAAATCGCAAGAGAGTGCCATACAGTGAAGGATCTGAGCTATTGCTACTGGTCAATTGTTTTCAGTGATCAATGCCTAACATTAACTAACACACTTCCCCCTATCATGAGTTATCGGAAGAAACATTTGAAAGATCTCTTAATGCATACGGTGCTACCACCTATTACTAAAACATCCACCTATTTCACTTCTGGCAAACCCGGCTGTTACAGTTGCCTAGATGGTACCACAAAATATTGGGGTTGTTTTGATTTACATCCACTACAAGACCCGTGAGTGCCTCTATACCTGTTTTAGATGTGTATGGATTTCTTTGTGGGTGAGCACCTGGGCATTTACATCACACAAAGCATGGTGGCTTCTCTTGGGACACTATGAGTGAGTGCCTCTATACCTGTTTTAGATGTGTATGGATTTCTTTGTGGGTGAGCACCTGGGCATTTACATCACACAAAGCATGGTGGCTTCTCTTGGGACACTATTATAGTTAGTTAATATAATGTCATACTTATAAGCAAGTCCTTTATCCAATACTATCTAGCCCTATTACACAGAAGGTTTGCTTTCAATATCTTGAACTAATGATAGTTAACAATATTGAAACAGCTGTATACAAGTTGAATAAATAAGTTAGACTGTATTTGTGCTATGAGCTAATGGTTTTGAATTTATAATTTGCCACAATGGCATAAAGGGTTTTTTGTCTTTCTTGAACCAAAATTAGGGCTCTTATTTTTGGTATTTGTGATGGAAGCGATCATGTGTAAAAAGCTGCAGTGTGCGTTAATACAGTAAATTTTTTATGTTTACAGAATTCTCTTTCTAGACAAAAAATAATAAGAAAGAAATCCGAGAACTGCTAACAATTAAATTAGTCTCTGAGTATTAAAGGAGTTAAGGACATTTCTGAATAAAAACAAGTTTAATTTTCAAGACAGAGTGCAGATCTCTAAGAATTGTCTTTCTGAAATAATTAATCAAATATATTCATGCTAAGCTTTCTTTACTGAGATGTCAAAGAATGCTGGATATTCATACATTTCCCATGAGGTCATACTGTTAAAGAAACAAAGTTTACCACATAAGGAATAGTCAGCTATGTTTACTTTAATACAGACAGTGAAGAAAAGAAAAAAAATAATCTAGTTATGTATATCCTATCCCACAGTTTGTCATCCAATATTCACAAAAGAAGGCATTTTTAGTTCTAACTGTAAAACAAAAGGTGTGCAAAGTCTTAGTATGTTTTCTTCAAAAATCAACTAGAGACTGAATAGAAAAGCCTGTGTCCTGCCAGCATGTTGCACAGAAAGATAAAAATGGCGCACTCCAAATTACATTCAAGCTCTTCCTTTTCTTCTTAGGTTTATTTATTGGTCACATGAATACAACAAAGTTTTGGAGTTCAACATCAGATCCTTCATCAGGCAACAATTGTAGCAAAACCCATCATCCCTAAATAATGCAAACAGCCAATCAGCTACAATCATAACCCTATAGACAGAGTACTACCTTTAATTAGCAAGAAGGCAATTAAACAACTTATGAAACAGTCACATACAATGCTTAAATCTTCCAAAATTGCAATTGCTTATGAAAGCTTATCAACACCAGACGTAACAACCTTCGAAGCTAGGGGCAGAAAGTGTCCTGGCAGATTTGGTTATAAGGTTCCTAGTAAATCCAGTTATCTTTCATCTAAAAAGAATAAGAATGCCAATGTTTAATCTGCAGGAACTATGGTGTTCAATGTATGGATCTGAAAGGCTTCTCTTTATGATAAAGACCTTGCCTGGTTACATTACCCTCCTAGATTGTAAGCTCGAAAGAGCAGGGCCCTTGAACCCCTCGTGTTTTGTTTTGTTACTGTATTGTCTCATGTTCTGTCCCCCACTATAATGTACAGCGCTGAGCAAACCTTTTAGTGCTATATAAATACTGTATAATAATAATAATTACCTATTTGATTTTGAAACATTCTATATCATGTGACCTCTCAGCTCATGGGTTTGATGAGATTTCTTGGCAAAGCGTATAACCTCTGGCATATTGGCATGTCTCTATTTTGTTTAAAATGGAGTTCCGCCCAAAAGTGGAAGCTCTGCTTGTTTACCTCCTACCCCCCTCCACTGCCATATTTGGCACTTTTTTTTTGGGGGGGGGGGGATATCTGGTTTTGACAGGTAACCGCTCCCACTTCTGGCTCAGTTCGGTGCACCTCCTTCCTCCCGCAGTCTTCTGGGACACTTCACAGGTCCTGGAAGACTGCCAGACCAATCAGGATGCACAGCGTGAAGCTGTAATCTGTCACAGCCTGGTGCCTACAGTTGGGATGCTGGTACCGGGGAGAGGAGAAGGAGAGAAGGGATGGCGCAGGTGAGCACATCGCTGGGCCCTGGGACAGGTAAGTGTGTGATTATTAAAAGTCAGCAGGTACAGTTTTTGTAGCTGCTGACTTTTAATAAACACAAAAATGACTGGAACTCCGCTTTAACTACAGTTACAGATGGGCACCCTGTATATCTGAGCAATATGTGTGGAACCATTTTCTATGTGGTCCTTTTAAACTAGGGAGAAAGGCATTTTATAAAATATATTCAAAAGTCAGCTTTACAAGTGAAAAACCCACATTTTTGTAAATGTTACCATTTTGAGGGTGAAAAATATATCACCCAAAATGAGAGAATGACAGATGCTGCAAGTGCATTTGCAATTACTTCTCTAATTGTCCACGTTATGGGTGGTTATGTTGAGATTACTTTTGTATTGGGTCTGCCTAGACCAGGACTGATCTGATGATCCTGCCAGTCTTCTAAAGATGTAAAGGGGCCTGTTTCATTCCTGCATGAAGCATCCCATCAGACCTGCAAAATGTTAAGATTATGAGGTGTGCAGGGGCAGACGGACCATTGGAAAACTTGGGCACTGCCCGAGGGCACAGGGTCAGTAGAGGGCCCCATGAGATGCCCCTGGTACCTTTTTCATAGGCGTTTTTGGGTTTGCGCAAGGACACAGGGGCCCCATGATCCCTATTGCCCGGGTGCCCCATGAGTTGTCAGTCCGCCCCTGGAGGTGTGGTTTTCTGTGTGATTCCAGACAGTTGATCGAATGTTTGCACAAATCCAATATATTCTATTGTGGGTTTCTTTCTGGGTCCAAATACATTTATCTCATGTGCTCTCCGTAGGGCTTGCTTTAAAAATCCATTCTGGGTAACCACTCTGCTGAGTTTTTCAAGCATATCCCTTGTTTTGTTTTTGCAATCAGTGGTATCAGAATATACTGTATTTCAAACATATGTAATAATTACAAGCATTCAGTAATAGTTTTGGGTGTGCATAGTCATAGTAGCGTAACCTATTATAATCTGTAGGTTTTGTAAATATTGATGTGACCCATCTAGAATTGCAGTGTGATATCTCTAGATCAAAGAAGCCAATGCATTCATAAGAAAACTCAGGATCAAAGACAATTTCTGTAAAGAGAGAGTTATAAAGCCAACAAACTCACATAGTCAGGACACAGTATCAACCCAAATCATATATATTTATATATATATATATATATATATATATATATATATATATATAAAATCTATGTATATCTCTGTACACAGCTGCAGAAACATTTTGAAATTGAATGTGGCTGAGGGAAAGATACATGCATTCCAATTAGCAAAGAGCATGAACTTTGTGAGTTATACTTCTGACTCAGTGCATGCTGGATCACTGCTTCCCCACAAAGAGCAACGGTCCGTCAATACAGTATGCTAGAAGGGGCCAGGCTTTTTTTCTCAGGGATTTGCTAGAAAGATATGCTACAAGTAGGGACGGACTGACAACTCATGGGGTACCCGGGCAATAGGGGATCATGGGGCCCCTGTGTCCTTCCCAAACTCAAAAAAGCCTATGAAAAAGGTACCAGGGGAATCTCATGGGGCCCCTACTGACCCCGGGTCCCGAAAATGGTCAGTCCGCTCCTGGCTACAAGAAACTTTTACCATATCAACTTACCTCCAATGTTTTGCATGGTAATAGATATAAAAGCTGCATATTTTCCAGGCCATCCAAAAGCTTTTTCTCCTAATTTTTCATAAATTAATGAACCTGGTAATAAAAATAATTAACTTTAGTTTATTAGTGCAAATAACTAATATTAAGATATCTGTTGCTGAGGCTAAGGCAACATGCATTTGCTTTTCACAGAGTGAGCTATATTTCCTATAGAAAAAAACACTCTTATGGTGCCTCTATGCCCCAACTGTCAAGGGACATATAAAAAACATTGCATTTTTGCACACTTGTGTATCTGTACAGCTAAGCAGGTCTGAACCATGAAACAAAATCTTACAGGGTGCAATAAAATTTCTCAATACTTTGAATTGCATTACTTGGGCTTTAAGCTTGCATTAGTTGGTGGAGCTTCTGAATATATTTTTTTAATATCCAGGAAGGTAACAAACTATTTGCTGGTTTAGCTTTTCAGGTTCCCTCGTCCCCTCTCCTCCTCCAGTATACTTATTGTTTAAGAACTTCATCATAACACTGCTGATTCACTCTTACAAAGTGTTCCTTGTAGGTGTAAGTGTAGGTGAATCCTTGAATGAGGAAATAGTGGCATCATGTTCCTGGCTCTGCAGTATGCGATTATGTGAAGTTTATCTAAATACATCTGCAAATCTTTTGGATAATTGGTTCACATACTGTATACACATTTTAGCTGTGCTTTTAGCTGTTTAACTCTTACCTCCTTCCTTTGCTGTCTTTAACAGGAGATGTACAGAATACAATGATAAAATGGCAACTCCAAGAAGAAGCACCCTAATGTGATAAGAACATTGACTTAATTTATTTGAAATGATAACTCATTTAAATTAAAATTGTAAATCACTAGGTACCTTAAAATGGAACTTTAGTCACAAAATTTAAATCCTAATAGCTCACTTTAGGCTGGCCCCTTTTGCAGACATAGCTATGTAAAACATTGAAAATAAGTGCCTGGGCTGTTTAAGATCCAGTAATGCACTGTTTCGTCCTGCTGTGTACATGCACAGTTGCTCTCTATTCCCAACACTATGCTTAAAATCAGAGCCATTAGAGGCCAATCAGTTGACAGCTTTAAAGTGGTTATGAAAGCTGAAGGTTGTTTTACCCTCATGCATTTTATGCATGAAGGTAAAAAAAACCTTCTGTGTGCTGCTCCCCCCTCAGCCTCCCCCTAACATTCACTTGAGCTCCCTCTCAATCCAGCAAGAGCCTCAGCTGTCTCGGGTGCACGAGAGCTGCGGCTGTCCCGGGTCTCTCTCTCCTTATTGGCTGAAACAGCAGCGGGAGCCAATCAAAGTCTGTGAGCCAATGAGGAGAGAGTGGGGGTGGAGCCAAGCCACGCACCAGTGCCCCTGTAGCCTTGGCCTCTCTGCTGCCAGGGAGACACAAAAGAGTTAAACTTACAAGGATAGTGTGTTATCTTATCTCCCTGATATTATCTCCTTTTTTCCATATTGGTAGCCTGTGAACGGCTGTACTGTAAAGCTTCTGTCAGCCTTCCTCTATACCTGAGCCAAGACGTACAATCAAGGCTGTAAATCTACATATTTTAATTGCAGAAAGTGACATATAATTTTAAGACCAAGGAGAGGGGGAAAGATTCCAATGAGGACATGACTGTTCTGGGCTTCAATACAACAGTGGCCTCCAGCAAGAAGAAACAGTAGCAATGCTGGAGTCAATTTACAGCACACACTAATTTTGGTAGCATAATTATTATTGTGGAATGTATGTTCTTCTGAACGTTAATTGTTACCAAACATTTATGGGCAAATTCTGCTTTAATATACTCAAACTTTAATGTCATCTTCACAAAATATACAGTAAATGAGAATAATATGAAATTTGAAAAAGTTACAGCTTTTTAACCACCTCCCGGACGGTGGCAGTGCAGGTCGGGTGGCCATTTATAAACGACCTCCCCACACCCTGCTTGTGCGCGCTCCCTGGGAGCACGCAGCACTGCGATCCGGTGCCTGCTGTGTCCTCCGGACACAGTGGAACACCGATCGTCGGACAGGACCTCTGTACGAGGTCCCGATCATTTGATCACTGATTGGCTAGTCAGTGATCACATGCAGAGTAGTAAGCAAGATGTCACTTCTGACATCATTGCTTACTACGTGTGAAATCTGTGAATGATCACAGAGGTCACATAGTACAAGGCTATTCACAACAGCCTTGTACCATGTGACAAGCTGTGACCAATCACAGCTCACTCAGTAGTTCTCAATGGCTGCAAGAATGCAGTTAGAGAGAAGGAGAAATGATTGCTTTTATAGCCTTTATAGGTGTAAAAGCAATCAGTGTAAAAAAAAAATATAAATCTTCATCACCCCCCCACAAGTAGTACAGTGTCACCATGGTGACACTGTACTGCTAGGGTGACAGTATGTAAAAAAAAAAAAAGTAAATAAATAAAAAAATATTAAAAAAATAAAAAAAAATGTAAACAAAATGTAAAAAAATTATAATGTTTGGTTATAAGCTAATTTCTGTTATTTTTGTTTTACTAAAAATATAATGGAATACATTTTGGCCAAGATTTATGATGAAATACTATTTATTTGCAAAATTTTATAGGAAAAAAAAACACTTTTTTTCAAAATGTTTGGACTTATTTACATAGAAAAAAAAATAAAAATCCCAGTGGTGAATAAATACCACCAAAATAAAGCTTTATCTGTCTCAAAAAAAAATCAAAAAAATCATATGGGTACAGTGTTGCATGACTGCGCAATTGTCATTCAAAGTGTAATAGCACTGAAAGCTGAAAATTGGCCTGGACAGGAAGGGGGTGAAAGTGTCCGGACATGAAGTGGTTAAACAAACAGTACTTCTCCCCTAGCCTGTTTAAACACATAAATCACTAGGAAAAGGTGGTATAGTAAAATTGTTATAGCGCATGATGCTGTTACTTTTAGCCCAATTTCAATTAAAAACAATTTTTCAAAATTGTCTAAATGTTTTCACATTCAGAACCAATTAAGTGATTGGATATCTATCTAACACACACAGACAAAAGCAAAACAAAATTTTAGTATAGCAGGGAAAGATTATGACTCCAAACAATATTTTTATTACTGCTTGTGCTTCCATTTCCAGTGTCAGTGTCCTATTAGTGTCACAGGCAAACATAAAAACCCAACAAATTTTAACTCTTCCCCATTCTCTACAAAACTAAAAAAAAATGCGTCTGGGATTAGGTTAACCTGTGAACCTGTTCTTTATACAGAACATTGTGTGCGTTTGTCTGGGTGTGTGTATTATAGATATGCATACACATAGTACGTTCATTCAGTTCATATTTGTTTAAACATGACTGTCATTTCAAAGTAGAGAGCATGTTCTCTACACATGATCATTATGGAATGTGAGCTTCACACGGGAAGGTGATTAATGAGCAGCACTGACTTATGTTTCCAACAGAATGTAGCCCACATTACATAGGACATGTTAGATCTTAGAATTTAAATGCATATCATAAACTGAGTGTTTTCAATTGTCTGCAGAAGACGTAGTTGTAAACTACAAATTAGGTATATTGTTTTTTTTTTCTTTATTTTCTTTGTCATGTGCAGCTGCATAAGAAAATAGTTATTATTATACTACTTAAGGAATCGTCTTAAAGAGTTTGGAACATACAGCATGACTGATATTAAAATGTGTTCAAGTCTCTGTATTGATTTGCTAAATTATATATATATTTAATAAAAGTAATACTGATATTGAAAACAACAAGCTACATTGGTGGGGGGCTCTTCTCTAAATAGCCGACGGTGGTGTGACTGATAACTTGGAATTACAGAAATTAACTGAGGGGACAGGGGTTGATGACATTGCACAACTCAGTCTTGGCCTTATGACCTATATATGTCTATCTTCAGCTTCTTTATTGGGAAGGTTGACAAGTCTGCTTCAAGATAACACTGTTTATTTCATTCATATCTGGGTTCTATGAATGGGTCAGGAAATAAAAAGGAAGTGCATCCTATTCTTAACTAAGCTTAACCACTTGCCTACCGGGCACTTATACCCCATTTCTCAACTTTCAGCACCGTTGCACTTTGAATGACAATTGCACGGTCATGCAACACTGTACCCATATTACATTTTTATAATTTTTTTTCACACAAATAGAACTTTTTTTGGTGGTGTTTAATCGCTGCTGGGTGTCTTATTTTTTTTTGCGCTATAAACAAAAAAAGAGCAACATTTTTGAAAAAAAAAGTTTTTCTTTGTTTCTATTATAACATTTTGCAAACAGGTAATTTTTCTCCTTCACTGATGTACGTTGAAGAGGCTTCACTGATAGGCAGCACTGATGGGAACTGATAGGCAGCACTGATGGGCATTGATAGGCGGCACTGATTGGCACTGATAGGTGGCACTGATGAGGTGGCACAGGTAGGCAGCATTGATGGGCACTGATAGGCAGCACTGATAGGTAGCACTGATGAGCTGGCACTCATGAGGCGGCACTGATGCTACTGCACTGATATGCAACAATGATGGACACTGATAGGCTGCACTGATGGGCACTGATAGGTGGCACTGATGGGCACTGATGGGTGGCACTGACTGACAGCACTGACTGATGACACTGACTGGCGGCACTACTGGGCACTGTTGGATGGCAATGCTGGGCAGCACAGATGGGTGGCACTGATGGGGAGCACTGCTGAGCACTGGTGGGTGGCACTGCTGGACACAGGTGGATGGCACTACTAGGCACTGCTGGGCACAGGTGGGTGGCACTGATGGGCACTAATGGGCACAGGTGGGTGGCACTGCTGGGCACAGGTGGGTGGCACTACTAGGCACTGCTGGGCACACGTGGGTGGCGCTGATGGGCACTAATGGGCACAGGTGGGTGGCACTGCTGGGCACTTGTGGGCAGCACTGCTGGGCACTTGTGGGCAGCACTGGTGGGTGGCACTGCTGGACACTGATCATAAGGGCAATGATCGTCAGTGCCCTGATGATTGGTGCCAATCCATCCTCTGACAATTGCCGGTTATCGCCAGTGCTTTCCTCACGCCTTGACAGCGTGAGAAAAGTGCAGCCGATAACCGACAACTGCATTTACTGTGATCTGCTGTGTAATTGGACATGGCTGATCACATGGTAAAAGGCCGCTGTGCTTGGCCTTTCACCAGATCACATGATCACCTGTGTCCATAGGCCCTCGGGGGTGCATGGAAGGGCAAGTTCTGGGAGGACGTCATAGGACTCCCTCCCAAAATTGGACAACCGTGCTGTTGCCGTCATTCGGCTATAGCATGGTTGGCATGTGCTTAAACATGCTCCCACCCCCCTTCCAAATCTCTTTCTATCTGCCCTGTGAAAGGAAGATGTGTAAACTTACCTATTCTGAGTGTGATTCGGTTCGATCACATGATCTTAGCAGTAGGCTTCAGTGAATAGGAGAGATCGCCAACAACAGCTGCAGAACCTGGGCACTGATATCACCCATAGACTTACTATGGGGCATCCTTTGTTGGCTGTCCATTCTCTACGCTGAAGCTGCCGCTGACAGCTAATCATGTGACTGGAGCGGATCGCTCCCAGAATAGGTAAGTATACACATCCTCCTTTCACAGTGTAGATAGAATAGGGATTAGAAGGGGGGTGGGAGCAGATTTAAACTTAGTTAGGAACAGGCAGGGCTTTCACTTTAAGGAAATCTTGCCAATGTTGATGCAGGCAGTAATAAAATCCCAACATACATTCTAATTCACTCCATTCTAACAAAAGAGTGTAATTGCTATATCTATCCACATTAAAGTGCTTTCCAAACACTTAATTTATAGGTGTCAACTGTTACCAGGACAGGGTGTGTAGAACATCCTCCAAAAGTGACAAAGCAATATAAAATTGACTGTGTTTCTAAGCCTGTCCCATTGTATCCAAAAAAGGATAAATAATGATGTTTTGCATTTAACTTTAAATAAAAAAAAAATATGTGCAGAAATGGCTGGGGTGAAACAAAGCAAAAGGGGTGAAAAGTTTTTGTATGAGACCCTTCTGCCTCAACTATTGACTACAGTATCACCAGATACTTAACCTTCCTCAACCACCGCAACACCTCAGTGTATGCACATCTCTTCTTACGTGCCCTCTGTTGTTTGGTGAATGTCAGATTCACTGATTTATAAGAGAAAGCACAGTTTCACTATATTGAAATATTATCTGGCCAAAAAAGCTAAGGTAACCTCTTCAAAGTGAACAAATTCCTCAGTTAGACAGTTGTCACCATACAAGTGTTCTCGTTGAAAGATTTCCCTTCACATCTTGTCTTGGTAACGTGAAATTTTCCATCCCTTTCCAACCTGCTCACAATGGTCACTAGGAAAAAATAGAGAGGGTACATCTCTCCAGCAGGAACACAGACTGCACTAAAAACCTGAAAAGATTTTGATTCTTCAGCACTATAAATGTTTGATCCATATATACCTTTTACATGGATTCAGGTTTATTTTATTATTATTTTTATCATTATTTAAGTTACATTTAGGAGTTAAACATTAGGTTTAAGTGTAAAAGTTAAGTTTAAGGGTTAGGCTTAGGTTAAGTATTTTTAGGGGTTCTGTTCTGGTAGTGGTCAGGGGTTAGCCTTAAAAGAGAAGTTTGGGTATTAAAAAAAAATACACACACACACATACTCACCCAAATGGATGCAGCATTGACCCAAAGCTATATCTGTCTTCTACCACCTCTAAGACTGAGAACTGAGGGATTTAGGACCACTGATTACTCAGTTCTCAGTCTTTAGTGAGCAGTCAGTCACCAGCTCTCTGCTCTGCTGAAGCGCAAGGCTGGAAAGGGTGAGGGAGAACTGAGAGGCTGAGCCAGCTGCCAGTCAGGAATCTGGGTGGATCTCGACATTGGATCTTTCCATAGCCTGGACCGGCTCAGTGACCTCAGCCGACAACAGATTTTAGCCTGCTGTCAGCTGAATATGGGTCACAAGAGTGAAGAACCAAGTGCACACCTGTAACCCACAGAAGAAGTAGTCAAGCTTTGTTTCTACTTTCTTTTAAATAAAGAGTAATGGTTCTGTGTGATAGCTCTTTTTTCAGGTATCTGTGTATTTTGTTGACACAGAAATTTCCCGCACCCAAAAAATGCTGCAATAAGGCAAAAACAAACATTGGGGTTGATTTACTAAATGCAAGTAGACTGTGCACTCTGCGTGCACAGTTGCTCCAGAGCATAGTAAATCCAATCAGGCATAGGCAAAATGTTATTTTTTACCTTGCATGTGATTGGGTATTCGTTGCAAAGTGAAGCTTTACCTCATTTACTAAGCTCTGGAGCAACTGCATTTGCAAAGTGCACATTCTATTTGCCTTTAGTAAATCAACCTCATAATTGTCTTTTAACATCCCTGTTTAAAAATGTCTATTAAAAGCACCAAGGAGGCATGAAATAAAGGTGCTTTTACACCCATTCATGACTTCTTTATATTTTTCAGGGATTTATAAATACATGTTAGGTGAATATGGATTACTTTGTGAGGTGTTCCTCAGATAAATGGTCTCTTGGTTTAGGTGCACAATGTTTTATTTCTGGTTTAATTAGCGGTTTTATTTGTACAACATACTTTACTGTCATATTTCACAAACATCAGTTTGTTAGACAGTTTAATTATTATGGTGTCCAAATGAAAGTATTTTACTAGCTATACATGATAGACATCTGTGTCAAATATTCTTACTAATTATATTCCTATGTTACTGAAAAATCTATTATGTTGTTGAGTTTGGTGTTAAAAAATAAATTAAAATGTCACCATGCATTTGGACCTCCATTTCCCTGAACAGAATATAGGCATAAAAACCCACATACTAGGGCAACATAACTAGCCCTCAAGTTATCCATGCAAAGTTCATTTAATGCCCTTTTAACATACAAATAATCCAATGTTAAGACCTTAGATCATTATCTTGTTTTATTATAGTTATTCTATTTATTATTACTATTATTTTTTTATCATCATCATAATCAATGCTACAATAGATAAGTTCTATGAAGGGAATCTCAACGTTATTTTTTTTTACTGTGGTATGAATCACAGAATGAGTTATATGAACACTTGATCTAAAAGAGACATGAGTAATGTAGAGAGTTCATATTAATGATGATTCTGTTTTTGGTTAATACACGTTTACTTACACAAACAGTATAATGCCTGTATTAGCCATTGCATAGGAGAGACCAAGAATTCCACTGCCCATGATAGCGTTGCTCAGGTTGAATACTGACATGCCAAATGAAGTGGTCCCAGGATGCTTTTTGGTAAAAATAAAAAGAGAGATAGTTCTTTCAGGTTTGGGAAATAGACTTTCAGAGAGAAAATGCTAGTTAGGTCACGGATTTCTCAATCTTCTGGTAAGTATTAGCTATAATGTACCCAAAGCTTCATTGCATTTATGAGTTAATAATTACACACAATATAAACTTATTGACACTGCCCTACATTTGCTGAGGCTTGCTATGTCAAAGCAACATAGATGGTGAGGTCAATGGGTTAAGGACAGTATTTCACAAGGGAAATGCAAGACTGGTATTTCAGATACAATAATCATAGTTGAAAAATACATTTAAGTAACTGGATTGTGTATCAGATTTTTATCTGGGAATGCTCTAACTAATTTTTTTATAATCAAAGTCATTTTAATTTTACAAGTAAGCCTAATTCAAACTGTAAGAATAAATTGCACTGGATATAAAATACAATATACAGTTTATAAAATTACTAACATATTTTTTTTTAACATCATTTAGCATAACACTGATACTCACATGCTCATCTGCATATTCATCCAGTTTTTTCTTTCCGCCTATACCATTTGTTAGAAACTTCTGACTTTCTGCATCGCCTTCATCAACATACTGACTGCATTAAAAATATCGGTATACAACAGTATTTAAATTGTGTGAATTATAATAAAACATTAATAGCAGTACTTTTTCATCTGAACTAGCTATTTTCACTATACATGATTAAATGCAGAATTTGTTTTATATTATAAACATGCCAAGGAATTTTAGTCATTATTAAAATAACACTAGCTTTGAGAACAAAGTTTAACAGAATAGATAATTGGCCAAATATTCAGAAAAGTAGTAACTGTAACCTCTGGTTACTAAAAAGGTGCAAAGTTAGAAGCAATAATGCAAAAGAGCGTGCATACACTACAGAATAATACAAAAAAATTATAAAAGTTGCACAGACATTACTCTTCACAGCAATGTCTCTGTGGCTTAATCAGGATAACATGTGGCTACATAGCATAGTCTTAATAGACAGCAGAAAGTCCAGCTGAGAATCACTACTTCAGTAAAACACAGCTATTTGTGACATTCCACAAAGACCTCATCCCTCACAGTGAACTCCAGGGTAGCTCTGGTAATTTAAGTGAATTGCTGGAGGTATCCAAGACCCAAGGACAAGGGGCCACCCCACTGGAACTGGAGTGCTCTAATAATGGTTGGAGAGGTGCACCCCATAATTGCTGAGTCTTTTGGAGAAGCTGTGTGTCATTAGGATCTGGTCCAGCTGCCCATATGGTGGTTCTAACACTAACTTGACTACAGATCACTTTTCCAACTTTGCTTGCTAAGAGAGGGAAGCTAAGGAACTTATCTTCCCTGGGCATGCACAGGATTTTAAAGAGTCAAGGAAAATGGAATTAAAGTGGCCTGCCCCTGCATCTGAGGTGGTGAATAAGCAAGCACTCCACTACAAGGCTAATCATAAATCTTCGTTGTCACTGTTGTAAGCTGCAGCATAGATCAGAGTGTTTCACTATTTCAAAGCAAAACATGCTAAACATAGCAGGCTCAGATTGCAGGGGAACCCATTCTGACCACAGCTGCTCTGCTAATACTTAGAGAATTAGAGAATTTATTTTAAATTAGGCTTGAGTACCCGGTCAAAGGTGATAATTCTTCAAGAATAAAAAAAAGATTTAATCTTTTTTGCTTTTAAAATTTCACAATTTTAGACAATCTGTGGAGAAAATAAGTACTGAAACTTATCCATAGAATCCAATCATATTCCTAAAGCCATTTTTTCTGCAGGTTAGAAAAATTAAACATAGTATCTGAATGTTTAACATGACCAACATATTCACCTTCATTTATTCCAGTTCCATGGCAATTTTCCATTGGTAGATGTTCACCATAGAATTGGACATTAGGTCACATCCATTCCATATGGATACACAGCATTTATAACAAAACAGTAGGTAAGAGTCGGCTGATCTGGTACATAAAGGGGCATTTACAAAAATGCTGACTGGGCTGAAACAGGTTTACCTGATTTCTCATTGATGGTTAACCACTTTAAAAAGGACCATCAATTTCCCCTGTTTCTTGTTAGCTTGTCCACTTTCTGCTCCTCTCATTAGTTTTCACTATTGATTGTGGTGTCCTAACGTATTAGAAACAAGATGGGGTTTGTTGAGTGGTAAGCAACTAAGTACTAGTGAACACACTGAGGTTGGTTTACCAAAGGAGTGCATTTTTCCATTGGCTCAGTGAAGCAGTATTCACTTCATCCAATTTCATGGATAAGTGAAGACCCTTTCTTTGATTACAATAATTATTGGCTGTGTTCTGAGTATGTTCCCATTCCTCTATGTCTTTGCTATTGATTTGTCCTGTGGTAGCTTGAACTTCTGCTTTCATATTTACCTTATTTTTTTCGTACCTAGACATTGCCATTGTTAGCTCTTTTGCTACCCAGACATTGCCATAGGTAGCTCCTTTGCTGCCTATTGTAATGTCTGGAAGTCTATAGCAATGCTTCTGCATCAGTTCATCAGTTTCACTATTCCCAGCAGTAGGAGTAATCCCCTGGTCAGAACCAGATTCTCCATGGATCTAGAATAAATATATTTTTAAGTACACGTATTCTAGGTAATATGGAAGTCTAGTCTTTACGGTATGTATTACCCATAAAAGAGGTTACAGTACTCTCGTTGACAATGTTTTTATCTTCTTTTAACCTCAGAAGGCCATAAAATTTTTGTTCAAATAGCATCCTGGGTTAGCATCTACCTCCTGCACTAAGAGGCTGGCCTATAAATGTGTTTGTTTGAAAAGTAGCCATTATGTTCTTGATTGTGTAAACATGTTGTTTCACATCATTCCCTGGCTCTGTTACCTCTTTCTTTGTGAATTACCACACTGCTACAATATACACTTTTTGCATTGTGTTTTTTAAAAAATAAAGTCAGAAATGTGCAGACCTGCAAAGTTGTTGATATATCCACTTCAAGCCAACATCAGCACATTGCACATTTTATCAAATCCCAGTTAAGGTGCTTTAACAATTATAGGCAATAATAGCTTAACATCTTACCTGTTTATTGTAGCTTTTTCAGAATCGATTTCTTTGCAGTATCCATCTTCAATGCTGTCCCCACTGTTGCTATCATCATCAAGATCTGTGTTGACTCTTTGCAGCTCCACGCGGTCCATTTTAGGCAATTAATGGATTGATGCACACCTTTACTCAAAGTAAACACTATTGTTCCTGTTAAGAGTTCTAAGTACAATGCAGTAGTCTTCAGAACACTTTGTTCTGCAAACAAAACATACAAAATTACATATTTTTCCAGTCTGAACTGATTATTAATTAATCTCACATTATCAAACTTTGTTATTTTAATTGCTTAGCGATAGCTTTTTTTTGTGATGTACATCGCTGACATTTAATTTTCATTTCAGTCTGAGACAGAATCAAGAAAAATGTTCTTAAACTGTATATGTGAACACATTTTTTAAAAAGTTTTTTGGATGTAGTAGAGGATTAAAAAAACTTGGTCAGTTTAATTGTTCCTATCTACTGTATGTCCCATTAAGATCTCCTTTTACTTCCTGTCCCAGACATGCAATGGGTTGTAACAGGATATTTCTAAGTTTCATGAATTCCCTGTTAGAGTAGGTACACACTTGTATGGGTTGTGGGCACATGTTTGTGCAGCACAGCAGCCTATTCATTTGAATGATCTGCTGCAACTGCGAGAAACACAGGGAAAGAAGTCCCCGACCCTTTTTTTTAAAAACACGGCCGCACAGAACCATGCATGCAACACATTTTCTGAACCATGGGGGTGCCATTAATTCTTTTCCTGCGTGCCAGCTACAGAGCAGTGTGTTTTGCCTGCAAGTCGGGAACACGCGTGTTTATGGACGCATTCCTTACCTACATTTTTGTGAACCTAAGATTAGACAGTTGTCACCAGAACAACTCTTCCCAATGGAAGATCTCATCTTTTGTTCTGGTGAAAATCATAAAATTTGGGATTTCCTATCACATGTTGTTTCAGTGACAAAAGTGACCAAGACAAAACAAGTGTAACCTAGTGGCAACAGGGTTTCTAATCCTTTCCTACTCTATAAAAAAAAATAAACTTGGCTAGATATGGGCTTTATTAATTAATTTAATCTGTGTGACATTTTTTCACATGTGTTCAAATGTTACACTAAAGTTTTCATCCATATATTTATATATTATTTATTTCAGGTACTTAAATAGAGCAGTTTACACAGCGCTTTACATATATATTGTAAATTCACATCAGTCCCTAACCCTCAAGGGGCGTACAATCTAAGGTCCCTAACCCACATTCATACACATACTATGGACAATTTAGACAGAATCCAATTAACCTACCTGCATGTCTTTGGTGTGTGGGAAGAAACCGGAGTACCCGGAGGAAACCCACGCAGGCACAGGGAGAACATGCAAACTCCGGGCAAGTGGTGCCATGGTTGGGATTCGAACCAGCGACCTGAGTACTAAGCCACTGTGCCGCCCATATATGAATTTAGATGGCAAGTATGTTTAGGAAATTGAAGTGGACCTAAAATGAAAGGTCTGCTTATAATGTCCAGGCCTTCTCCACCTTTAAAAATATTGTCTTCTGTTGGTGTGTCCAACATACCTGTAAGAAGAAATTTAGACACTTGCCTTGCTTCCACTCATATATTGGAATGGAATGTCCTCTCACAAGATTCTACCCTACCAAGGAATGTTCAGGAAGGGTAGTAATGCTATGACCAGTGATGCAAGAGATGGGGGTAAGATAAGTATAAAATGTTTAAAAAAATATACTATCAGCAGGTGATTTGTACAAGGAGAGGGGGGGCCTGGACCAGGTCTGCTTTACAGCAGAAATCCAGAAAGTACAATCCATTGTCAAAGATGTTCAGAGGGTGGAAAGGGTTGCTAAAAGTGTTATTTTTGTTAAGCTAAATCAGTGTTTCTCAATCTTTTTTCAGTCAAGGCACCCTTTAAAGTTATGGACAGTCCTGAGGCACTCTTTAAAATTATGGACAGTCTTGAGGCACCCCATTCTAAAATGGAGTGACTCAAGACTGTCCATTATTTTAAAAGGGCACCCCATTCTAAAATGTGAAAAATATTCCAATAGCTTTATGTAACGCAGCAACATCCACCCATATAGGACACTCAAAATTAGAAATGATTTATTCTTCCAAAGCAAATACACTTTTGCACACTGTTACTGACTAGTATTCCAGTGTTTCTCTTCCTAGGTTTTTCTCCCATCACTTAGCTAATGTGATCCCAGCACTGACGGAGAGGGGCAGGGGAGGGTCAAACTAGGGTGCTGTGCAGGCAGCTGACATCCTCCTTATCAATTGATGATATCAATGGTTGTCAGGATGTCGGTGGCTAGAAGGTGCACAATGAAAACCTGTGACTTTGTGTAACTAAAAGGCAGGCTTGTTCCACCCGCTGGCTTGCATAGAAATTCTGGGCAATTTTTAGACATTTTGCCAAGGCACCCCTGAAGAAACCTCAAGGCACAATGGTTGAGAAAGGCTATGCTAAATTATGAAACAAATCTGAGTCATGTGAAAAAAAAAACAGTTCAATAAATAGCTATGGTCACTAAAAGCAAATAGTTCTCCGAAGATGAAAAATGTAATGGTGACTGTGTCTACCTATTAAATATATACACCAAAAAATGTCAGTTGAAAACTGAGTTTCAGTTTTAGCTTATGTACTTTGCTTGCTCTCCCCCTTCCTCTTTTTTCAGCCATTCACAAAAAGCCAAGTATTCATTTCACTGAATACAAATCCTTCTGTGAATTAGTGAGAGGAGATTCCATGGTTTACAAATGCCTGCTCTCCTCCCACCCATTCATAGCAAGCCTTGTATTTACTAGGCTTTTTATAAATGACTGAGGAAGAGGAAATGGGAAAATGAGCAACGCTATCCTTTACTATAGACAAGCCAGAACTGTTAGTCTGAATTGTGGGTACAGTTCACAGTCAGTTTCCAAAATAATAAAAATAAAATTTTTAGCATCCACAGCCACCCTCTGGACATGTTTGGCAAAGGCTTGACTATAACTCTGGACCATTCACAATACAAAAATACTTTTTTTCCACTTTAAGATATAAATATGGTAACTGGCTCATATACCTAGTTGGATTGCAACTTCTGGCAAACTCTAGATGACTGCTGGAAATAGCCATGCATTGTTTAAATAAAAATTTAAAAAAAATTAATTAAAGAGATGCATAAGTAAACTTGAACATAAATTATACATATATTTTAAATTACCATTGTCAGAAAAAATTGTGAAAAAAAAAACTTAATTTATAGATTACTCAAGCTTACTTACTAATTACATGTAAATAATTTTTAAATCCAGTGAAATCAGGCCTACTGTTTGTAACTCCACCAAAATAAAACACACCCTGTACCGAAAAGTGTTTCAGGACATTGTGATACAATTGGAAATTGTCAGTAATGTAATTCTGAAAATAAGTCAGAACTGGCACAGCACAGAGGGGGAAAGCAGTAAAGGTCTACTTGCCATTTGCATCAATAAAAGGGGAAAAATGTATTATTCTTTGTGCTAGAATGTGAAATGCCTAAAACCAAACACTATCAAAAATCTTTTATTTATAGTTGACAATTTAGTTTAGTGACTTTTTTCCCCTTACAATTTGTGCTGACACAGGAAATGATGGAAAACCTCTACTGTGGTGATACAGACCACTTGCCCTCCAGAAGATTTACCCCCCTTCCTGACCAGGCCATTATTTGTGATACGGCGCTGCGTTACTTTAACTGACAATTTTTCAGTCATGCAACGCTGTAGATAAATGAAATGTCTTTTTTCCCCCACAAATAGAGCTTTCTTTTGGTGGTATTTGATCACCTTTGCATTTTTAATTTTTTGCGCTATAAACAAAATAACAAAATCGACAATTTTGAAAAAAAAAAAAATATTTTTGACTTTTTGCTACTAAACATGTCCAATAAAAAAATTCTGTATGCATTCTGCTACATGTCTTTGCTAAACAAAAAAATCCAATACATGTAAATTAATTGTTTGAAAGTTATAGTGTCTACAAATGGCGATATATATATATATATATATATATATATATATATCTATATATATATATATATATATATATATATATATATATATATAGATATATATATATTTCTGGAATTTCTATTTATTTATTTTTATACTAGTAATGGCGGTGATCAGCCACTTATAGCAGGACTGCGGGACTGCGGCTGACATTCTGACACTGGGTGGGAACTGACTAAAACTGCCACTGACATCCCACTGACACTAATACAGTGATTAGTGCTAATAAAAGCACTGACACTGTACTAATGATACTGGGCAGGAAGGGGTTAACATCTGTGGGCAATCAAAAGGTTAACTGTGTGCTGTTTTACTGTATGTGCTGTGTGTGGTTTACTAGGGAAATATGCTGCTGTGTATTTCTCTGTTTCGCAGAGAAATACACAGCAGCATGTTACTGGTGGCAGGAGAGAGACCTGTGTAGTTTACACACAAGTCTCTATCTTGTCACTGTTCTTGGTGATTGCCGGGTACAGGTGGAGAATCTCCAGCCAGGACCCAGTGATCCACATCTGTAGCCGCCAATGGGGGCATGGGTAAGGCAGTGCACCTCCACTTCATGGAAATGCAAGGTTATATATATATATATATATATATATATATATATATATATATACGTGATTTTTGTGCTGCCCTGTAGCAGTGTTTCTGCTATAGGGTGGTGGGGAAGCGGATAAGGCACATTTGAGCTGGAAAAACGGCTGTATAAAACAAGCATTTGATGGGTTTTTTTTCTGCCTGTAAACTTTTCTCTATGTTAGCCAAAGACAGGGACATTTAGAGGCAGAAACAAAACATCAGTTGTGCTTTCAAGAAAGAAACATTTTGACAGGAAAAATGACAAAACATGGCTAAAAACTTGTAAGTCCAAGAGTTAGGCACGTTTAGCAATTGAGCATTATTTTATTTCAGTGGCCAGAACAGGGGCGGACTGACCATTTGGAAACTCGGGCACTGCCCGAGGGCCCGGGGTCAGTAGGGGGCCCCATGAGATGCCCCTGGTACGTTTTTTCATAGGCTTTTTTGAGTTTGGGCAAGGACACAGGGGCCCC